CATTCGGCGGCTTTGCCCAGATGCTTCAGAGCACATATATGGCGACACATTCGTCATTCTTCGGTACGTCCGCCCCTTTCCAACTTTCAGCGATATGCTAACATCCTCAGCCATGGTATCTGTAGCAGAGCAGTTCGGAAACCTACGACAAACGCTTGGCTCGGTATTGGGCATCTACACAATAATGCGATGGATACGGACGGCAATCGCAAAGCTCACCGGACGACCCCTACCAGCAGATGCGACCGCCCTCACCCCCGCAAGTTTCGCAGCCTTCAACGGACGTATGCCCGACGGCTCGCCGGCCCCCGCAAAGCCTTCCAAGAAGCCATTCATCGTTTTCATGCTCGCAGTCTTCGGTCTACCCTACCTAATGGGTAAGCTCATCAAGGCGCTTGCACGATCACAAGAAGCCCAAGAGCAACAGAAGATGCTAGAGAACCCGCAAGCAGGACAGCCCCTCGACCCCAACAAGCTCGAATTCTGCCGCGCGCTTTATGACTTCACACCCAATGCCAACATGCACGCAATGGACTTGTCAGTGAAGAAGGGAGACATGGTCGCGGTGCTCAGCAAGAGCGATCCCATGGGCAACGCATCAGAATGGTGGAAGTGCAGATCAAGAGACGGACGCATGGGCTACCTTCCAGGCATCTACCTCGAGCCTATTCAACGCAAGACACCCGCACAGATTACCAGTGGAAGCCAGAGCGGAAGCCCAGCTGGTAGCAGAACACAGACAATGACGAACAGCAGCGCCGCGAGCAGGACTGCCACCATGACCGGAGCTCCAGGATCGGCACCAGAGAAGGTTGGCCCGAAGGTGGACAGCAAGGCGGGCGATATGGGTGTTGAGAGTTTCCAGAAGGGCGCCTTCTACTCGTAGGCTTTGAGTGACGTTCTTGAGCGTATTCTTCTTGATTCTACATCGCGTTTTTAGTAATGATTATCGTTGCAGTGTCGTCTGCAGGTGTGTATAACTTGGCTAGGAAAAGCTACGGTATGGCGGGCGTATGGCGCGAGAGATATCATGGGTCAATACTATTTCGAATATTCAACAAAATATCCATTGCCAGCGGTGGCTCAGATTCGTGTTGCTACATGCACAGTGTCTAATGTTGATATACAGATACTCCCCAATGCAATATATAGTCCTACGTCAATAACAAATTTGGGGAATGCGGTATACACTACATATATCCCTAGTGCCATCTAGTATTGAAGAGCATAGTTGGTGAACTATGAGAATGCCCAGATGATTCACAGCAAAATGTACCTGGATAGCCGCGTTCCGCCCTGGCGCGCCGCGTGAACCAACCTTCGCAACAAAGCCGAGCACCGAGACATCAGGCAGCGACGGCGCAAACAATTCACACGTCCTATCACCTCTACCTCGTACCTTCCAGCCTCTTCCCTGTCGCTCACTCCATTTCTACGATCGAACTTTCCGGTCGCTTCTTACTCCTAGGCTGCTACCTGATACGCGCGCGGTTGCCCCTCCCCCACACGTTGTCCATTCCACCTGCAGGGTCGCAGCTTGTCCATAAGCTTGTGAGCTGTTCAGCTACCTCGGAACAAAGCTACGATACACGTCATTCACTCTGAGTCCGCCCAGGATACATTGTTAGCTACATATACCTACGCGTACACCCCAGGTTGAGAGGCGCGCTGCTGCTGCACATCTCGAGATGTTCGCGTCGAAACGGTTAGGCAAGGTATGTTGTCATGGTCTTGAGCTCTGGAGTGGAGCTTGACTGCAATGCGATGTGTATAGGAGCTAGAAGCTAACGTGTATGATAGGAGCTCGCAAAGGTACCGTAATCCTCTCGTTCATTGTTCGTTGCCCGTCGAAGCACATTGTCACCCGTCAGACGCCTATAAACTCCACGTATCGACGCGCGGAAGCCTGCACACACAATATGGCCACGATGTGAAGGCAACGGATATGGAAATTCACATACGGAGGAACAGAGTCGCTAATACAACGGCGTATAGATGCACGAAAAACTCCCGCCAGGCATAACTCTCATTAAGGCTGACGACTTCCAAACCTGGCTCATGGACATTCAAGTTATGGACTCCAATCCGTTGTACCAGGGCGAAACGTATCGGTTGAAGTTTAGTTTTACACCGCAGTATCCTATTGAGGTACGTGTTCCCTTTCTAGACTAACTGCTTACTACCCAGCACCCTACCCTCCCATCCTCCCGTTCCTGCACCCATCCAATATCCGCACCCTCCCCCAAACCAAACCTCGCTAATACCCCCCACCACAGGCCCCCGAAGTAATCTTCCTCCGCGACGAAACCCACCCCATACCCTGGCACCCACACATCTACTCCAACGGTATCATCTGCCTCGACCTGCTCGACCGCTCCGGCTGGTCCCCCGTCCACAACGTCGAAAGCGTGTGTGTCAGTCTTCAGAGTATGCTGACGAGCAACACGAAGAAGGAGAGGCCGCAGGGAGATGAGAACTTTGTCAGGTATAACACTCAGCGGCCGAGAGATATTAATTTTGTCTTTCATGATGAGACGGTCTGAGTGCGAAGACATGACATGGATTATTGGGGTTACATTGGGAAGGCGGGCATAAGATAAGGCAAAGCATGGAATTGGTGTTTTGGGCGTTCATGGCATGGTGAAGGGCGGAGGGCATGGGATTGGATATGACGTTACGGCAGATTTCATGATCACCGAATATGGAAAGCGATACTCTGTGTGCAGCCTTGAGTTCTCCCCCAATTCGTGGAGGTCGCTCGCTATTGAGAGACATACTGTCGCCTTTGATGCTACTCCTATCAAGCAGTACGGTGTATCATTGTCAGAAGTTCGTAAGAAGGAGTATGGCCATCTTCTGCCCTGAGCTTCTATGAATGCAGCTTCTCGGTTTTATCGTGAAAAATACAAAGTACCCAATGCATCAGAGTGAACACGCTACCCAGAAGTTTGAGGCATCTCAGAAGACGAGGAACTCAAAGCACTGTCCCAAGACCTACGCCAACCGACCAAAGGTTACCACAGAGGAGATCTTCTAGTGTACTATCTGCAGTGTTTCTTGTGGCGATCAGGACGAGTTCGATGTTCATGATGATACTGCACGGCACAAAAGGTGGACTGAGGAAGAAGAACAAGGCCGAAATCACTACGCACCTTGCAGCGAGAACTTCAGATACCCTTCTGACCTTGCGACATCTCTAGGAAGGCTGTGCCATAAGGACGCGGTTGCGAAATATGAAGAGTGGTTGTACGCATTAATCAGAGGATGGGGATGGCAAAGACATGGATGTGAAGCACCAGCAGTACCCAGTATAAGGTTAAGAAGATATTTTGAATAGTTCACCACTGCCGATGCCGGCCGGTAACGACATTTCCATCTATACTGCGCACTATTCACATAGTCCTCTAAGGTAGCCTTCTCAGCAACTCTATTCCGCTGTACAGACTAACTCTTCGATCATGAATCTACGTCTCCAGGGAAGCAGCCTTCTACTCTTCCTAAGTGTCAACCACGACCTTCTTGACATACCAGTGATGTTGCAACATGCCCATTGTTCTTAAGCCAGCCAACTGCTGTGACTCTTTGTCTCCAAATTCCGCTGGGATGCTAGAGGTCGTTATGTTGAACTCCGCCTGTCCATGCTTACATCCCCTGTTATCAGTCCATTCTATCTCATCCTTCCAGTAGTTACCGCACTTACGCTTCATAGCTTCGCATGCTGCCCACGCATCATGTGCCGTGCCCGATATCTTTGTTTCGACGATACTGTCGCCACATTCGTCGATGGCCAGGAAGACAGTGTTAGCAGGGGTTGTAGACGTGCCAACTATATCGCTGTGCTGGAGTTCGATTTTGATGTCGCTATCGTCGCCAATGCATCTTATAACACAGGGCTCAGAGCTATTAGGTACTCGCGCACAACGTGGTGTAATCTTTTTGACAGAGGCGACGGCTAGGGCAGGAGTGGAGAAGACGCCGACCACGCGGGGGATGAAGGTCGCGGAGAGTTTGCCTTCGATACTGACAATGTAGTAGGGTTGGGTGCGAGGCATCGTGGTTTGTGGTAGTTGGTGAGATGGTTGCACGGGATCTCTGGGACTAGGGAAGTAGATATAGAAGAGGGGTTGGAAAGACCTTGAAAGAAAGATCGGAAAGTATCAAACCGGGGGTTACAAACATTAGTATGACGGCTCCAGGCGCATCCATAGGTAGAAGCGTTACGCTGGTCATGGAAATAATCTATCGCGAAGATCATCGTGGTCTTTGTGCCGGAATCCATGGACGTGAGACGAAGGGCAACAAATTGGTCCATTCATGAAAACGACGTCTCAAGTAAGCATCTGGTCTTCTACGCTGGAAACTTACCGTGATACTCAACACTCCAAAAGTTTCTGAAATCATATTGCTAGACGTATACCAGGTAAGCTCCCTGGGCTGGGGCGGATGTAAGCCACGACGAAGATAGCCAGAATCTTGGATCTTGCGGCCATTGATCTGGCCCGAGGAGGCGACACGATGGTCCAACTTCAAGAGAGGCTCGTTGGGCCCAGTCTGCTAGACAAGTACCGTACCACTCAACGTTCCAAAGTGTTTTCAGATGATAGCGCCGGGCGTGCACCGGCGTGGATTGGCAAGACTGAGGACGACATAGGCAGGTCTTGTTTCAGAACCCTCCTAGAAGATGGGAAAGCTTAGCTGCGGGGCACCCTCTCGATGTCACGGTCCGGACTCATTTCTTTCTCAGCGGGCCGAGGCTCGAAGATATATCGATGTTGGATGGGTGGTTTTCATTGAGTATCGATAAGCGCCGCGCCAGGTTAACCGAGTCTGCCTAGCGTCATTCGCCGACACTACGAGAGATCCCTGCCAGGCCAATTTTTCTCTGATCGCTCGCCTTTAAGCAAGCGCGAAAAAGATTCCCAACCCTCTTTTCCACCTTCTCTCCAACACCTTCCTGCTCTTCAATTTTTCAGGTTGTTCCTTATACACATACCGCAATCATGAGCGACGAAGTCTACGAGGGTGCCATCGGCATCGATCTTGGTGCGTAAATTTCGCGAATTACCCCACAGTGGGATGCGTGTGTGCTAACAATATCGCAGGCACCACCTACTCTTGCGTTGCCAACTACGAGGGCACCAATGTCGAGATCAGTATGCGCCCGCCCCTCCTGCACTCAGAGACCATCGTCTAACAATGTTTGCCCACAGTCGCCAACGAGCAGGGTAGCTTCACCACCCCCTCGTTCGTGTCCTTCACCAGCGAGGAGCGTCTCATCGGTGAGGCGGCCAAGAACCAGGCTGCTATGAACCCTGAGAACACCGTCTTCGATGTCAAGTGAGTTCTGCCGTTCCATCGTCGCACGCGCGCGATCAGCCGACTGACTTTCGCAGGCGTCTCATTGGTCGCCGATTCGAGGACGAGACCGTCACAAAGGACATCAAGTCATGGCCATTCAAGGTCGTTGACCAGGGCGGCAGCCCTCTCGTCGAGGTTGAGTACCTCGGCGAGACCAAGCAGTTCTCTCCCCAGGAGATCTCTGCCATGGTTCTCGTCAAGGTAAGATCTGCGCACACACCAGCATGGCGGGGCAATGGCTAACAAAATCAACAGATGAAGGAGGTCGCTGAGACCAAGCTCGGAAAGAAGGTTGAGAAGGCCGTCATCACCGTTCCCGCCTACTTCAACGACAACCAGCGTCAAGCCACCAAGGACGCCGGTGCCATTGCTGGCCTCAACGTTCTCCGTATCATCAACGAGCCTACCGCCGCCGCTATCGCTTACGGTCTCGGTTCCGGAAAGTCTGACAAGGAGAGGAACGTCCTCATCTACGATCTCGGTGGTGGTACTTTCGATGTGTCTCTTCTCCACATCCAGGGTGGTGTCTTCACCGTCAAGGCTACCGCTGGTGACACACATTTGGGTAAGTTCTGGCTGCACGCCAACCTAAGGAGAAACTGAACAGCCTGGAGCCTACGTTGACTTTCGGTCACCTCTTTTGCAAGGTTTTGGGTCAATGTAGTCTGCAGACCTGTTCAGTTTTTCCCTTGTATAAGGTGGCTGCACAAAGTGCATTTGAGACATATACTGACTTCGTTGCAGGTGGACAGGACTTCGACACCAACCTCCTTGACCACTTCAAGAAGGAGTTCACAAAGAAGACCAAGAAGGACATCAGCGGTGACGCCCGTGCCCTCCGTCGTCTCCGGACTGCTTGCGAGCGTGCCAAGCGTACCCTCTCCAACGCCACCCAGACCACTGTTGAGATCGACTCGCTGTTCGACGGTGAGGACTTCAACGCCAACATCACCCGTGCTCGTTTCGAGGACTTGAACCAGAAGGCCTTCGCTGGCACTCTGGACCCCGTTGCCCAGGTTCTCAAGGACGCCGCCATCGCCAAGGACAAGGTTGACGAGATCGTCCTTGTTGGTGGTTCCACCCGTATCCCCAAGATCCAGAAGCTCCTCAGCGACTACTTCAACGGAAAGAAGCTCGAGAAGAGCATCAACCCCGATGAGGCTGTTGCCTACGGTGCCGCCGTCCAGGCTGGTATCCTCTCCGGAAAGGCCACCTCCGCCGAGACTGCCGACCTCCTCCTTCTCGATGTCGTTCCCCTCTCCCTTGGTGTAGCCATGGAGGGTAACATCTTCGCCCCCGTCGTTCCCCGCGGTCAGACCGTCCCTGTACGTATTGCCATGGCTATATGACTTTGCATTCGCTAACTTTTGCACCTAGACCATCAAGAAGAGGACCTTCACCACCGTTGCAGGTTTGTTCACCCAAGAAACACTTTTGATAAGACCATGCTGACAAGCCCAAATACAATCAGCAAACGGTACAGTTCCCCGTCTTCCAGGGAGAGCGTGTCAACTGCGAGGACAACACCTCTCTCGGAGAGTTCACCTTGGCCCCAATTCCGCCCATGGCAAGTACTCCGCGTCCCCAACACTCACGCACTTCAACTAACATTCTTCCAGCGTGCTGGTGAGGCCGTCCTTGAGGTTGTCTTCGAGGTCGACGTCAACGGTATCCTGAAGGTCACCGCCACCGAGAAGACCTCCGGCCGCAGCGCCAACATCACCATCTCCAACGCTGTCGGAAAGCTCTCGTCTGCCGACATCGAGAACATGATCAACGACGCCCAGAAGTTCAAGTCCTCCGACGAGGCCTTCAGCAAGAAGTTTGAGTCAAGGCAACAGCTTGAGTCCTACATCTCCCGCGTTGAGGAGATGATCTCCGACCCCACCACATCCATCCGCCTCAAGCGCGGCCAGAAGGAGAAGATCGAGTCTGCTCTCTCTGACGCCATGGCTCAGCTCGAGGTTGAGGACGCCCCCGCTGATGACCTGAAGAAGAAGGAGCTTGCGCTCAAGCGCACTGTCACCAAGGCCTTCTCCACCCGATAAGCGCATCACATGACAGCAGCGCCACAAGGGCGTGCAGGAAGGAAGGAAGGGCGCACGTGCAGGATACCCAGACTGCGAGCTGCGAACGGAGTTTCATCTATTGCGGCATTTAACGATAGACTTGGTGTGTTTGGTTCCTTATCTTTCATGGGTTCCCGGTATTCAGGAACGCGGAAAAGTCTTCTTTGTACTTTCACGACGATGCCTGACGAAACGATCGTAATGGATGTTCTGCAAAAGTATGCCAGCGGTCAATGTCTCTTATGTAACTCACGAGGTAGCTACATGAAGAGAGTGGAAAGGAAATTGAAATGACTTCACTGAATACACCATCGTTATGAATGTTGCTGTGACGACTACATTGCCGTATTTTCCACCGGTGGTCTTTGCGATGAGCAGCGAATACCTCCTGGCTCTATCATGATTCTGTACCGTGATACTCTTCCAACACACCTCGGATCACAACAGACTCTATCATGTTTAGTTCCTATGTGGCTATCGCTCCCACCGACTACCTCCAGGCTACATCATGATCAGCATCTCGACAAGATGATGGGCCCACGTATTCGGCAACTTTGCTAGCGCCCTTGACTGTGGTTCGTAAATCGAAGCATATACATGGTGGCTTCTGAAGGAAAGCGCATTCTCCACAGCATGACTTCTTCTTCTTCCTTTCCTCGATGTCGGCCAGCCATACAAAGCTGCTGTTCCCACAGCCCTCTCCTCGACCCTGTTGAGGGTGACCTCGACCTTACTAAGGAAGAGCTTGAGGAGCTTGAGGCTGCGACAAGGGCGAAGGACAAGGCTTACGCATCTTCATACGGTCGAGAGAAGAGAGCGAGCCCTACAGAAGGGTAGAAGGCCAGTCAAAAGGCCCGCAACGCAAAACAGTATCCTCAGACACGAGCCAAACAAGTCAAGGCGATTAAGGAGAAGACCTTCTACTGTTCCGTCTGCGATGTCGCATGTGCCGTTGCTTCTGCTCAAGCAATCCACAATGGCACACCTAAATACATGGTGGCTTCTTCCGGGAGGATGGCGCATTCTCCACAGCATGACTTCTTCTTCCCTTCTTCGATGTCGGCCAGCCATAGAAAGGAGGAGACAATATTCTCAAAGAAAAGTGTTCATTAGGAGAGTCTACTTCGACATATGTGCGCTATCACGGCTACCACCACCACCATCACCATCTCAAGCCTTGAACCTCTTCTTCTCAATCGCACTCCCCACCAAACCCTCCCCCTTAACCACATTCGTCGCACACACCACAATCCTGCTACCCCTCCCCTCCCCACCACTCTCCTTCAACTTCTCACCCACAAACCTCAGCGCCGCAATCTCAGCTCTAGTCACACCACCAAGAAAGAACACAACAATAGTCTTGTTCTTCTCACCTGCACTTCCATTCAACAGCTGCCGCGCTTTAACAGCCTTCTCCTCACCCTTCTGCGTCTCATCGAACGTCGCGCCGCGGATGTATTTACTTGCGTCGTCGAAGATGCGGAGGCCTTGGGCAAGGGGGTTGGCTTGGGCGCTTGCGCGGGGGTCGGAGGGGGGTTTGATGGCGTTGGCGAGGGTGTGCTTCTGGATAATGGATTGGATGATGCGGACACTGAGGGGTGCGTAGCCGGAGAAGGTGTAGCTGATGTCGTTGGGGCTTGCTTCGTTCACGTCGTCGTCCCAGAGCTTAAGACTCTTGCGCAGGGGCGTGTAGTTTGTTACGCTGCCGGGTTTGGCGGGCGCGCCTACGCCACCGAGACTTACGCCGCCTCGTGGGCCTAGTAGGCCCATCTTCTCGAGTGAAGCGAGAGTCAGGATGTGTTGCGGGCCATATGCCTGGATGATGGCGCGCTTGAAGGCCTCGAGATCCTTCGGACGGATGCCGGCGTTGGTGGTGGACTCTAGGCAGAGCAAGCGAAGGATGGCGGGTAGCGGTACATCACGGTTGATGAGCTCGTTGATGAGATCGTGTTGTGTTGTTGGGTCGGCGCCAGACATGATATTCTGCTGCACTTCCAAACTCCGCGTGAAAATGTCGGTGCGCGTGAATTTGATAATCTCCTCAGCCAGACTGGTATGTAGCTTCAAGCTTGCTTGCTCAGCCTGGTAACCGGGCAACTTGGCGACAAAGTCACGAAGCTCTGTAGTCGTCTTTGTGGCAAGCTGGTCGCGTCCTGTGCTGCTCTGCAGACGACGAGCTGCTTGATTGAGCAAGTTACCGACGATAGCAAAGTTCGCATCACCCAGATCAGCATACAGAGCGTCTTTCGAATCTATCATAATCTTGCGCTTCATGCTCGTCGATGCTGATCCCGTCTGACCTTGCTGGGGCTGTGCACCACCAGCTATGGAAGAGTCGACTTCAGTCTGGTTGGCGGTGATGTTGAAGACTTCGTCGATGAGTCCCTCATATGTCAACTGAGTCAGTAGCGCTGTGGGAAAGTCGACTTCCCGATCAACGATGATGAGGCTGTCGATGTTGGAACTAGGTGCTAAGCCCAGGAATGATGGGCCGCCGCCGGTAGAGGTCTCACCGGCCGTTACTTCGGTACGCATGCGGATGAGTAGGTCGGCGAGCCGCTTACCATTGTCACCTTTTCCGATGATGCGCGGGAAGAGACCATACTTCTGTTGCTGAAGCATGAGTGCTTTGGCCGACAAGTAGATCGCGGTAGGATCTTTCTTCTACGCAAGGTTAGTATCAAATCTGCACCAGATCCAGGACGCACATACGAGATAAAGATCTGACACAGCATCTTCAAGTTCAAGCGATAGCACATCATCTGCAAGCGGTACGAAGAACAGCGGCCATTCGCTCACGCTCGCTTCACCCAAGACACCCGCCTCTTCAAGCAGTTGATCCGAGGTCATAGTACGGCGCGGCACCCAGAAGATGGAGAATTCATGTTCAATTTGGCTGTCTCGCCGAATACGTTTGATTTGATCTATCTAGTATGTTAGCACCGTACAATAGACTGCTCCTACATGGAGATGAAGGGCAATCCAAAAAAAGTGCTATGTTCAATCTAGGGATCAAGACTGGCTAGGCAGAGTGGGTACTGTCTGTCTAGCCTACTTTTTGACCCAAAGCTCCAGATGCCGTGAGGCAGATGGAGGAAAGGAAGCCGAGGGAGCTTCACTTACCAGCAACGGCCATCACAGTCTTCGCTTTCTCGCCTCTGACGAGGAAGACGATGTTGCGCTGAGAAGAGTCGACATTGTCGTTCTCAAGGAAGAAGGGCTTGTCGACGCCATATTCCTGGAGCGTGGAGAACTTGACAAGCAAGTTCAGCGGGCCTGCGAGAGCTTTCTCTAGCACGAGGTTCTTCTTTCCTCTGATCTGTCCGCACGCGTTAGATGGTGCAGCGACCTGCGACGTTGATATTACCTTACACCCTCGAGCAGGAGCAGCAGCTCCCGGCGCGCTTTTTCAGTTATATCCGCCGCATTGAGAGGTGTGATGGGCGCCATCTTCAGCGCTGTATCATGAATTACAGCTATTACGAATGAGCCTCAGATGCATGACTACATGCAGTCGCCCTTGTGATGTGAAGGTCGATAGAGGGTGAGAACGAGGTGGTTGGATTTTCGGCTCTTAAGCTTTGGACCCAAGGCACGTGCACGACAGAGTCTTGGCAGAATTGTGGATATACGGCCAACAGATGCGCTTGATGATCTTCACTTGGATATGATTATATCAAAATTGACTATGTTCAGATAACAGAGCTGGCGCTTGCGTTCGTGACTCTGATCGTGTATGATCAAAGCTTGTCTATCATTGTAGCTACCTCGGCTCACCTCTTGAAAGCGGTGCATCTATCTATAACACAGGGGTATACATCACACTAACAAGTGATACGAGATTATGGATCCATGTTCCTCTCATCTTCATGCTACGTAAGAATGACCACGTTCCTATAACGCACCCAGAGCCCGTAACGCTGTGCGTAGCTCCTTCACAGCAGTATCTGCATCTTCAAAGTTCATTGCAGAAATGGCCCATTTGGCGTGCTTTGTAGCTTCCATGATGGAATCTTCGTCATTCCTGAACGGACCCTGCGATGTTTGCTGGAGAGGAGGTTGTGGTTGAGCGTATGGATTCTGGTGGGGCGTTGACTGGTACTGCGGCTGAGCAGGCTGAGAGAATCCGCCTTGTTGGTACTGTTGTTGAGGCGGCTGTGGCGAAGGCGAGGCAAACTGATGTTGTTGTGGGGGCGCTCCGAAGCTGGAAGATAATCTCTGAGGCTTTTGCGGAACTTGCGGGGGCGTTGGAGATTGGTATGGGTTTTGTGGTGGTGGCTGCTGAGGAGCCTGAGCAGGCGCAGGAGACGCCGGGTTTTGATAGAAGCTTGCAGGGTCTGATGGTTCCGGAGCTTGTGGTGGCTGAGGGCTCGTGGGCAGAGAAGACGTCATGGGGTCTATGTCCATTGGAGCGGTTGGTAGACCTGGTGCCGTCGTCTCTGCCGTGAATGTAGGAGGATCTGGAGCATCGGTCCTCGGAAAGTATCCACCACCGATCGAAACGACAGAGCCCTGCCTCGAGGTGGCGGGTTGTGATATTGGAGATACATCGTTGTGCGATGACTGGGTGTATCCAGTAGGTGCAGAAGGGAGGTTGGGAGGTGGTGGTGATACTTGGCGTGCGGAGAAGTTGGGCGATGGTTGGGTAGAGGTATTCGGTGCTGTCTCTACGGATGGTTGGTATGGGTTCGGGGGTGGAGCGCCTTGGTTTATGCGCTGGACTTCTGGGTCGTTTGGATCTAGAGCAGACGGCGACATGGGCTGCTGCGGTGTTTCTTGTACGGGGTTCGTCGCATTGGGGTCTTCGTTGGCTTTGATGGCTTTGACGATGCGTAGCGCGTGGTATTTGGCGAACTTGGTTTTGGAAGTGATCTCAGGGTCGTTGTTCTTCCATATCGACATTATCTCGAGGAACGTGGAGGCGGCGAGGAGGGTATCGGCTGTTTGTCTGGGAGGATGTCAGATGAAGCGGCAGCGATAAGACTATAATACGAACCCATTGACTCTGTTCTCAGCCATCTCCCTTTCTGCCTTTGCGAGAGTCTGTAGCGCGAACTGTTCGCAGTATGCGCTTGCGACCGTGTCATCCAGCAAGGCATCCTCGTTGGGGTTCTCGGCCTTTGCTTGCTCGAGCTTTTCCATGAGGTCGGTCGTGTAGGCGGTGCATTCTTGGTCGGCCGAGTGCAATCCACCGGCGATGATTCTTTGCACTATGTAGAAGCGTACTGCCTAGCTTTAGTATACAATTCTCGTGTCGACGCGCGCGGTACTCACACCAGTAGGTGATGATAGGCTTGAATCGCTCGAGCTGGGCAGCGCGCTTCGCGAAAGACGCGAGCTGCAGGCTCTTGAGCTTTGCCGGTACTGTGTCGGCCATTGTGGGAGTAGAAGGTGTACTAAGAAGACGCGGTGTTTAGTCTGGAGATGGATGCGTAGAGATGCCGGCGCCTAGAATGCGGTCATAGGCGCTAGTCCGGAGTCCGTACCCCTGTCTCCCCGCATCTCAGCTATGGCCATGCAACTTATGGCAAGCTGTTACAAGTGAAAGAAAAGGCCAACCTGGCAACTCCGCCATGTGAGGCTATATCATCACTGCAGCGGCGCCCCTCCTGCTCAGTCCCCATTCCATCCTCGCAACTCTACTTACACTGCAACCATGGTCCGCGCAACCACGCTGTTCGCCGCCACGGCCGCGCTGGCCCTCAATGCCCACGCCGAGAGCATCTACGGCAAGAACAGCGCCGTCGTCCAGATCTCCGGCATGGACTATGACCGAGTAATCGCAAAGTCTAACTACACTTCTGTATGTATACCCCCGATCTACTAGTCAGGACTAGCTAACAATGCTCCAGATTGTCGAGTAAGCCGTCCCCAATCGTCATCATGTCTCTTCCTGACACGTCCAGATTCTACGCGCCATGGTGCGGCCATTGCAAGAACCTCAAGCCGGCCTACGAGACGGCCGCCAAATCCCTCGCCGGTATCGCCAAGGTCGCCGCCGTTAACTGCGATGAGGAAATGAACAAGCCCTTCTGCGGAAAGATGGGCGTCCAGGGTTTCCCTACCCTCAAGATCGTCCGGCCTGGCAAGAAGCCCGGAAAGCCTACGGTGGAGGACTACCAAGGGCCTCGTTCGGCCAAGGGCATCGTCGACGCCGTCAAGGACAAGGTTCCCAACATGGTCAAGAGGGTCAACGACAAGAACCTGGACGGGTGGCTGCAAGAGAACAAAGACACTGCAAAGGCTATTCTCTTCAGTGAGAAGGGTATCGTCAGTGCTACACTACGCGCCCTAGCGATTGACTTCGCTGGCATCGTCTCGGTCGCACAGGTCAAGAAATCAGAAAAGGCAGCAGTGGAAAAGTACGGAATCACCGATTTCCCAAGCTTGATCCTCATTCCTGCGGGTTCCGACACTCCCATAAAGCATGGGGGCAAGGCCGACAAAGCAGCCATGGTCGAATTTCTCTCCCAAGTCGCCCCACCAAACCCCGATTGCCCACCCGGCAAAGAGAAGAAGTCAAAGGCTAAGAAGGATGCCAAGAAGGAATCCAAGTCCTCTAGCAAATTTGCGAAAGCCTCAGCTTCGCACAAGTCAGCAGATTCGTCGTCAGCTGCCGCGTCAGCGACGGATGAGACTGTGGAGGAGGCTGGCATGCCTACCGAGTCGCCTGATCCAAATGTCAAGGACGAGAACACACCCGACCCCATCGAGCTTCCAGTAGAAGAGACCAAGCCCACTATTCCTCTCGTCACCGAATCTGCCGAACTACAGACAGTGTGTTTGACCGAACAGAGCAAGACCTGCATCTTGGCCCTCCTTCCCAAGGACGAAGCCTCGGAAGCTGCAGCCACTGCCATTGCATCCCTTGCATCCATCCACAAGAAGTATGATGCTACAGGCAGCCATCTCTTCCCATTTGTCGGCGTCTCATCCACAAATCCACTTGCTGCCACCATCATCACGGAGCTTGGTCTCGGAAGTGCAGATGGCGTCCACCTTATTGCCACCAACGGAAAGCGCGCATGGTACAAGAAATACTCTGGCACCTCTTTTGGAGCCGATGAAGTTGAGCAATGGGTCGACGCTATTCGCATGGGTGAAGGCAAGAAGGAGAAGATACCTGACTCCCTTCTGATTGCTGGTGAGGAGCCAGTGGCAAAGGCGGAGAATGTAGAAGAGCAGGTCAAGATTGAGGTTGAGGAGGTTCCAGAAGACGTCTCACAAGATCCGGAGACACCTGGCCATAACGAGCTTTGAGTGGGAAAAGCGAGCGTATAGTAGGGGGATTTTCATGTAAGAGGTACATCAATTGACTGATATATTTACTATCTTGAACAATCTTGAAGGTATTTGGTACTCCTGATTCACTCTTCAAGATTTCAGGATCCTTGGAGCATTCACGCTGCGTACAGCAGTATCATAATTTTCGCTCAGGCGATGGCACCGACCTTAGCCGTCCGGTCTAGCCCACCACCCAGCCCACCACCATAGCGGCTATTCACACACCCCTGTTACATTCCACAAGAGGGACTATACCAGACGCATGCTATACAGAACTCTAACTCTCGGGAGGGGAACCGGGCCCGGGCGATTGCTCCTGCCCATTCATGAGGAACCTTCGAATGTGCTAATGCACGTGCCCTTGTCTTTTACCTTGCACCTACTCACTAGATACCTGACTGCCTGCAGCACAACTCCATCAGTAACAAACATTACTCAACCATGATATTAACTCTTCTGCTTGCGCTGAGCACCGTGCAACGGGCATCAGCATGCCAACGAGAATTGCGCAACCTCGATCTCGGCCAGCAGTCACAGCTTCCTCTACTGCCTCGCCAGACAGCGCCATTCCCACCGGTATGGAATGAGAATGAAAAGATCCTACAGACATCTTTTTCAACTGCTCTTATCGATACGTGGTCCTCTTACTACACCCATGGCGACCACATTGCCGGACGCAACAAATCCATGGCGGAGGAAACCGCGAAGACGTGGACAGAGAATGGGGTACCTGCCTCACTTGTAGAGTATGAAGTATTCCTCAATTACCCGAAAGAGCAGAGTCTGGTCCTGAAGACGGGCAATCTCACGCAGCACACGGCTCAACTGTACGAAGATGCTTTACCGGAGGACGAAACGACGAGCTACCCGCAGAGTCAAGCATTGCCAGCGTTCCATGGCTATTCTGCTTCTGGTCAGGTAGAAGCCGAGTACGTCTATGTTGGGTAAGTTGCCCATCATCCTACTCTGAACGACTTTTACTAATGTCTCATAGTCGTGGCCACAAAGACGACTTTGCTGCACTCGTGGCGGCCAACGTCAACTTGGCAGGGAAGATCGCCCTTGCAAAATATGGTGGACCGTTCCGAGGTGTCAAAGTTCGCAATGCTGAAGCACACGGCATGGTGGCAGTTGTTATGTTCAGTGATCCTGGAGATGACGGGCCGCAGGTGGCAAAGGGACAAGCTGCGTATCCCAGTACGACTTCCTTTGCTTTGGCATATCGCGTATGAGTTCACTAACATCGAGCAGATGGTCCAGCGCGCCAACCCTCTTCCGTCCAGCGAGGATCCGTTGCGTCCATCAATCAGTACCCTGGTGATCCAACAACTCCCGGATACGCGTCAAAGCCCGGCGTCGAGCGTGTCAGTCACCCACCAAATCTTCCCAAGATTCCATCTCTACCTATCTCCTACCGCGATGCATTACCCCTTTTGAAAACTTTGGATGGGTATGGCATATCAGGCAGGTCTATCAAACGTGATGGGTGGATTGGCGGTCTGGCTGCAACATACAGCACTGGTCCTGCACCAGGCATTACTCTTGCTCTCACGAACTTCATGGAAGACAAGATCACACCAGTCTGGGACGTCATCGGTATCATCAATGGTACGAATGCAGACGAGACTATCATCATTGGAAATCATCGAGATGCATGGATCGTCGGCGGAGCAGCAGATCCGAACTCAGGCTCAGCTATCATGATCGAGATCACAAGGGCTTTCGGAGAGCTGCAGAAGACTGGTTGGGTGCCTCGTCGAAACATGTAAGCCTACAACGCTCTGTCGCTTCATCACGAACTAACTCATGTCTAGCATCTTCGCATCCTGGGACGCAGAAGAGTACGCCCTAATCGGCTCAACAGAATGGGTCGAAGAACACGCCCCCTGGCTTGCCGCCACAGCAATAACCTACCTCAACGTCGACATCGGCGTCGCCGGTCCCCTCCCCGGCGCAGGCGCCACCCCCGAACTCCGCACCATCGCGCAAGAAGTCATGAAGAAAGTCGTCTACGGCAAGAGAACTCTCTACGACGCATGGTACGATCTCTACCGATTCCGCCCAGAAGACAACGGCTTCTCCAATCTCGGCAGTGGAAGCGACTACACCGTGTTCCTCCAACTGGGTATCGGTGCGCTGGACTTCGGTATGGATGCGTCGAGTGCGACACCGGTTTATCACTATCACAGCAATTACGACTCTTATCAATGGATGAAGACTATGATTGATCCCGACTTTAGTATCCACGCTACTGTGGGGCAGTTCATTACGCTGTTGGCGTATCATCTAGCGGATGATGCTCTTATCCCGTTCGATATGGATGCCTATGCCCGCAACCTCAATTACTGGATCCGCGAGCTTGTGGGAGAGACGATGGGAAGGCCGGACAGCGGTGAGCTTCAACGTCAGATCAAGCTTAACGAGCTCGCGGCTGCGGGGAGGACGTTTCAACAGGTTGCTTCTGACTTTGCGGATCGGACGGCTGAGAAAGAGTTCTTGAGGGATGGGGTGAGAGTAGAGAAGGCGAATCGCATCATGCGCGATGTTCAAAGGCTGTTTGTGAGAGCAGAAGGCTTGCCTGGACGGCCGTTTTACAAGAACGCGTTGTATGCGCCAAATCGGGATGATGGTAAGAAGCAGAGGACTTATTGCGGATTTTGACTGACTAGATGCAGGGTACAAAGCGCAAATGCTTCCGGCGAGTATGGAAGCACTGCAAGATGGGAACTTGACGCTGTGTCTGGAGTGGAACGTTTGGCTTACGGTGGCGATTGATAAAGCCGCGAAGTTACTGGCGACAGCATAAGAAGATGGGCAAGGAGAATGGGGCGTCATTGCGCCAATGTGGGTAGGTTGAGTTCGTTGCTGATGTCGCAGTAGCGATCATTGGGAGTAACTTTGGAACGCTGTCAGCCCGTAGCACGTGCAATATTCCATCGTCTCATGTTTGAGTAGAGTATAAATACCCCTCGTCCGCTCGCTCCTCTCTCTCCTTCTTCATCCAAAAGTCACAATTTTACTTCCCAGAAACATACGTTCGCTGCCTGATGTGTTGTTCGCCTTTCTCCACCAAAAACACTTCGAAGATGGCAAAATGTCTGCCCTTCTCCGAAAAACACTCCGGCTACCTTCATGTTCCGAGCGGACGAAACCTTCACTCCCTATATTCCTCAAAAACTTTCAAAACTTGCGTCATCTTGCGTTATGGTCTCTTCACCGGCTTATAAGCGTCTTCCAAATTCTTTCCACCTTCTTTACAATCTCCAGGGTCCACCAAACAATTATCAAAACAGCTTCGCATCATTGACATGGTGCGCTTCGTCTCCAAAATTACGCAGATGCGAGACGATGTCTGCTCCTCGGCTCGACTACCGACATTTCTCAAACTTCTTGATATGTCTCGGGTTCCTCCTCGCCGAAATACATCATTTTCTTGGAAACTGTCGAAGAATGCAGTTAAAGCTACAAAAATGGTAGAGCAGTTTCCATGTGTGTGTGTCGCTGCCGACAACACATATATATAAACCTCCGCCAGTTCCTCCTCTACTCTTTACGCACACTGGTAATTCTTCTCTTTCTCAAAAATCGCACCCTAAAATTTGATGGTGCTCTGTCCCTAAAATGAACCGATACAATTGCATGGGCAGTTCCTTCCGCCTTTGAGTTCAAGCACTCGCCATCTTTACTGGACACCAAAAGGTCCGTCAGTCATACACATGGCCTGTTGGTGGCCTCGTTCAAAGATCCTAAGAAAACTTGCCATGTGTCGGTCTGGAGATCTGCGCTTCACGATACAAAGCCGCCTCCTTCGCGGCTCTCTCTTTCTTCCCCTTATTCTTACCCAGAGCCTCTTGCTACCAAAAGTACGATGTTCGCCTCCATGACTGTCTAAAACAGTATCGCAAAAGCTCTATGATTTGTGCGCCGCTCCGAGTACCAAATATGCACGATTTCATCACATGGCTGCCGCGTTGACTTTCTCCGAAAATTTATCGCCTAGCTCTGAAGGTCTGAGTAGTTTGGCCTGTGGCTCCAAAACACGTGGAGCGAGGAACGATGATCGAGGAAGCCGTTCTCGGGGCTATCGCCGTATATAAACCTTGCCTTCTTCGCCTCTCTGCTTTCTTCCACAAATCGCACAATATTTCTCTCCAAAACCCACAGTAGGGTAGCTGATGTTTCGCTCCAGAAAGGCTGTACAAAAACAGCAATGGACTGTTCGAGTAGATCTCCAAAAGTCATAAGTTCATCCGACCATGTTTCTGGTCGCTACTACAAGCTACAAATTCCAAAATACACGACGGGTTCCATATACTGCCGTACTACCAGACCTCGCGCGCACATCGCTATGGTCTGGTGCTCTGGCTCCTTGGTTGCGGTTTGAGGTCTAGACTTTGGCCTTCCTTCCTCATCTTCACGCAGCGACATGCCTTTCTCCAAAAGCAATGTTGATGCTAACCATATTTCTCCAAAAACACCCAATACTACTGGATATGTTCGCTGCTGTGCGTCCTCGCCCCGGCGCTCAAAAACAACGTTCCCGAAGTGTCATGGGAAGACGAGAGTCGCTATTCTATCACGCAAAACTACTACACAGAACGCTAGTGTTCCTGGGAGAGTAAAAGCAGGACAACAAGGAGACCATGTCTGCCGTCTCGCTCGCGACTTCGAATATAAGACCAGGTCCTGGCTTCTACCAATCTTCTCATCTTACGCTCCTTCCTTGCATTATCCAAAAATCGCAACGCTGCAGGTGATGAGAGACTCGAAAGTCAGTACCTGCGAACTCATGTCTGCTTCGCTGGCTTTATGAAACAGTATCTGAATCCCGCTATGCGCTTAAAAAAAGATCTGGCAATTATCAAAACGAAAAGGACGTTTGCATGGATATACTAAATCAATACATGACTCGGATCATGTATTGGGAGTCCGAAGAGTCCTGAACATTATCGAACTTTCAAGCACGCCGCAAAAGTCAAAGACAAAGCGTTTGATGGGAGACACGAAGAAACAGCCGATCAATAAGATTATGAGAAGAGAACGAGTGTCAAAAATCGCCTATATAAACGTCTCATGGACTTGTTGGAGTTTCTTCCTTCATCATAAACTGCGGCGCTTGATTTCAAAGTAATGTTCCGTCTGCTGCATGGTTTCTTGCTTCTTTTCCAAATTCCAAAGTCATCTGGGCCTTCTTTATGACTGAGACGAAGCACCAAAAAGTTGATTGCCTTTCGCCATGTACCAGGCTGCGAAAAGACGGTCAAACCCATAACGCAAAATCTCCATGTTTCCTGAGTCTTCGTCGACTTCAAACTACTACGGACTCAAGCCATGGAGACTGCCGCAAGTTGGACTAGGTATATCAATGCCGCAAGTTCTGCAAAACCTTCCATCACTCCCAGTTTCATGCGCAATACCTTTCGCGTACCTCTCAAACCATGAAAGTCGCCTTAACATGGCTTCGCGCCTGGACTTCCGCTTTGAGCTCTACCTAGGTATGACAGCAGTCAATGAATTCGGCACAACTCTCCTCTTTATTCTATCTCAACGAGTTAAACATTATGTTACCCCAAAACATCCCTCGTTCCTTTAAATGTCTCCTGTGAACGAGCGCGAGCCTCAGGTACTTCGACGCAGATCAAACTTGCCAATTCCGTGTACATGTGTTGAGAAAATTCCTTTCCACGTCTTTGCCATGTAAAATTGCGGCAAAACAGAATCTCCCTGCGACACGACGATGGCACTCCAGGATTTTTGGTGTTTCCGTATCTAGTTGGCGTCGGCGGACGCCATACAAATCATGTCCGCGGTATCAGTTCTACGCTGACTAGATCGTCACTGTGGGGTATAAAGTCTTCTGACACGAGCTCAGTCTTCCTTATTCTTTATATTACCACCCTTTATTCTCTAAAATAAAGAGCTAGCAACAGAATGGCTCTGGTTTCCTCCAAAATCTATAGCACGAGGAGGCATGTTCTTGTCTGCTACGCTTGCTCTTCCGAAATCCGAAAAGAGAAGTGGGCATGTTTTGTCGTGCGATAGTTTTGTGGATATGAGCAAAATCTACCGCTAATGTCGCTATGTGGAACTTCTGCGATAAGCCTCTAAAACGTACGGATCGAAACCAATCCAAAGAAATCACATGTGAGAGCGACTTCGTACCGTCAACAAAAAAGTAGCAAGTGAACACCCGATCTGTCGCTTCTCCTTCCTCGTGTCTTCGCTACCGTCTATAAAGCCACCTCTTCGCCATCCTCACTCTACCTTCCTATACCTCTACATCGCCGCGACATTACCAAAATCTGCGGAGTCCGGTGTTATGTCGTCCAAAAACTTCGAATCCGATTCCATGTGCTGCTCTTCCAAAACGTCTTATCAGCAGATCATGCTGGTGTGGACTTCTGCGATCGCGTCCATCCAAAACTCAAAGACGCCACCGGTATGCAGTGCGGAAATCCAAATACCGACAGAGGGAGCTCATGGTTGGAGCGAGTGTGGAACCAAAAATCTCATGCTATCGGCATATGTGTCTGCGCGCGCAAACGGAACAGCGATAGCGTTTGGACGATTCCTTGGGCTATATAATGACTACCTCGCTGAATCTTGCTTCGATACATGCGTAATTGAGGCCTTTCTCCAAAACCACACCATCCTACACCACATGTGTTCCGAAGCACCTCGGCCGATGGTGATGCATTTGCGTCCGCAATCCTTGATACTAAACCACCCAACGTCATTCATATGGCGACTTGGAGATGGGCGGTAGCGCCGATATACACTGCGTTCTGAATCGATCGGTTTGAAAAAGTTGATTTTGAAGGCCGTGCCACTGTGAAGAACATTAAAAGACTGTTCGCTGTGTTTGATGTAATTTCTACGCTATCGTGATTTCATGGTATGCTGGTCGTGACGTTGAGAAGTTGTCGAGTGTAAAGCGAGACTGAACGTGTATGGCATGACATGAATGAATGCATCGTGTGTTTGAAATGATAGATAATCTTGCACTGTTACCGTCTGAGGGCCCAAACGCAAGGGCAGACAGTCATGGTAAGAATGATGACCCTGGATATCGTGTACATCCTTCAACTCCAACATGTCCGAAATCGTTCGCATGTGTACCATTAATAGAATTCCTTCCAGTTGCCCCATATGATGTCTCGTTCATACTTCTTCATAAGCTGACCGGTGGGATCTTCACCCTTGACATGTGCCCACGCGCCCGCGAAATGCAGGACGAACTTGCCCGGCTTCCACTCGCCCTCTTCGTTCTCGAAACAGGGTATGTCCTTTGGAAAGGCGTTTAGCCTTGACTGCGGCGCCACGACGTGTCTGCTGACATATGGTTGCTCTTTGAGCAGTTGAACCATGGCATCTTGCTCGCTATAGCTCTTGCTGTCGTCACTCTTCTCAGCTTCGTCGCGTATTTGGAGTGCGCGACGCACGAATTCGAGCGATCGGTCGTGCGCGCGGACGAGGAAGGATCCAAGGTTCAGGCCGTTGCAGTCGTGCGTGAAGATGTAGTCGACTTCGTTTGCATTTTCGGCTTTTTCTAGCTCGTCTCTGACTACGTCGGCCACTGCGACTCCCGTGTCAGTGATGAGTGTGTCGAAGTCTAGCCACCATATCCAGTCATATTTGTTGGTTTTGACCAGCCGCTCTACCATGTCGAACTTCCAGTATACAGGGCTGCGCGGCTCGGAGTGCGCTTCGAAGTCGGTGATGAAGTCGTAGCCGTGACGTCGCGAGTAGTCTATCCAGTCTATGCGTCAGCTTCATTCCGTGCGATTGTTCGACAAGGCTGGGCTTACGGTCTTTGTTCTTGAGCGAGAGATGGAGATAAGATCTCTGATCTGTGACAAACGTCACGACGGCAATGCGTGACGGCCTATTATCTCCTTTGGCCGGAGGCGGCGGCGGTGGTGGAGGCTCTTCATGGCTCGGACCTTGACTGAGTTGCCATCCTAGGAAGACGAGGAAGACAAGCAGGACGAAGAGCGACGGCGGTATCTGTCGCGCTGAGCGGATGAGCATTTTTGTGGCGAGCGCAGTATGCCTAATATGTGGAAGGGGTGGAGCAATGATCTCGCTGTGGCATCTATACAGGCGCACAGGACATGGTTATCGTGAATGGTAGTACTCGGGATGGGAGCCAAGCGTGCGAGGTGCGCGGGATTGGATGCGGGACAGAAGGCCAAAGGGGAGCCATCGGGCCATGGTCGAGAACATGCCCGGAGTCCAGCTGCGGAGGCGGCCGCGTGTCCAAGCCGGGATGGGGCCAACGGCAGTAAAAGGGTCGACTTTGAATTTCGTTGTCGACGATTGATTGCAGGTACATCCAGGCCAGCGACTCTCCGAGTGGTCAATACGAGATACGGCGGGAACCAAGTGGAGCGTTCGCCCCAGGAACGCGGTGCCGTGCCTGAGGTGACCTCACACCCCGCCAGGGTTCGAGCTCGGACCACCATAGCCCCAGCCGCCGCTTTGTTACCAGCCACCTCTGTCTACATGGATACAAACATGACCCTCCGTACTAGTATCGCACCGACACTGACATCATCACGATCTAATCCTCCCTGAATCATCATGTCTGCTTTTCGAGGAGGACGTAGCGGCGGCGGCGGGCCACCCAAGGGCCAGTTTCTCAACGGTGTTTGGCACTGTAAGTCCAGACATTCCCACAAGACATGAGCACCACTGACAACGACTAGGCGACTGCAATCCCCGACTGCCAGCAGTACACTTCGAAACCAAGAAAGCAGGCCCGAACAAGGGAAGATGGTGTATGTTACTTCTACTTTACTGGTCAAGGGCTAGCTCTCTAACGCGCTCCAGTTCGCTCTTGCCAAAAGCCTCAGGATGCGGAGGACCGATGCAAGTTCTTTCTGTGGGATGATCAGGCGCATGCCAGGGAGCAGAGCGCCCTCGCGAACAACTCTCGCACCGAACCCGGCCCTGCCAACCCAGCTCCCACCAACCCAGTCACTCCTTCCCGACGTCAACCCTCCCCTCCACCACCTTACACGATCGAAACGAACCCAGTCGCATCAAGTCGCAAGCGAACACGACCTAGCAACGATGATTTCGATGACGAATATGGCATCGGGCAGGTTAACGATGATGATCTGAATCAGGCCATGGTCGAGGCTGAGACGCCGAGCAAGGCCGCGAGGACGACCAACTTCACGACCCCTGCACCCAAACGACAGAAGCTCCCATGGCAGATGGAGACAGGCAGTAGCTCCAGAAATAATGGGCTGCAGACGCCCCAAACCGACCGAAGATCCCCAGGAGACAACCCGTTCGCACCCAGACACCCAACACCAGGCGGCGCTCTCTTTACTCCCTCATCCAATGTTGATGCGAACGAGCACCATCAGACCGCAACTCCGTCGTCTTCGTTTGACGCGACCCCCACCCCAAATCGGTTCAGAAATGCAGTGAACGACGACATCGTCAAAGACGTCTTTGACTTGCTGCAGAACAGTAGCACACGCCTCGCAGACTCTACCGAAAACGAGCTCAGAACTCTGCTGGTTCGACACGCCAAGAACGCCGAAGGATACAAGAGAGGTCGCGACGTCAGCCGTAGCACAGTCAAGGCAAAGGAAGCGAAGATTACGGAGCTGACATATCGCATCAACACACTTGAAGCCGAGCTTGAAGCGGAAAAGGCCATGGTCAAACATCTTCAGTGGGAGGCACAACACGAGTCGGACACCTGATCGTCTCGAAGTGCACGATCCCAACGTTCGGCTTGGGCTCCACACATCAACCACAACAAGCCTGCAGGTTTCGTCGGTCATGTACTCGAGTGGAGCACATCACCCAACGTCCATGAAATCACTCAAAAGGCCCACCCCCAGATCAAACACTGCATATGTTACCGAGGTGGTGGGCTGCCCCACTGTGGCCGACGTGCTGCGAAGCATGGCTCACCACACTTGCATCCTACGCGCAGCCAACGCGTCCGACGCGGGTCGCATGGTACGCCTTAAGTCGGCTATGTCGGCTATCGCAAGGGACTGTCTGGCCTTGCCACAGTTTTCTGTTCACGAAAGCACGTTGGATGAAGGGACTCACTCTCGCCCTGTGCGATGGTTCCTGAGCACGCCATCAGAGGCTGAGATTCCTCACAAGCACTCGGAAGTGCTTGAATGGTAAGTGCGAATCAATGCGGAAGAAGGAGCGATCGTGACGTGACAGCTGCGGCGGAACCGAGCCACGCCCAGCATTGGCACGCGGAACTCGGCATGTAGACAGAATATGATTTGTCGGGATACTTTCGACCCCAACCATCTTACGTACGCCAGGCCTTTGCCGATGAGCTTTTCTCCACACCCTCCCCGGCGGAAGCTTGGCTATCAACGGCGGCCCCCGCCGAGCCACTGGAAACCATGTTCTTGTCCCATGAGGTTTTGTGAATTGCGAGCAAGAAAACCCATCTTGCAGGAAAAGCTTGTTTTGTGTCATGGCGATTGTTAACGTCGGGGTTGCCGTAGTCGTACCCCCGGTGTAGGATCGGGTGGGTCAACCATGCGATGTGAACTGGGAAATGCAGGGAAATCGCAACCCATTACCAACAGCAACCGAACGTGGGTTTGAAGAGACTGGTACGATCTTGGCGGACGTAGTGGGGCGTTTGCTCTGAACGGAATACAAAAGTACTTCACTTCTCACATGTAATGGCTAGGTCCGCCCACATTTCACAGTCTCCCGAAGAAGGGTCGATTTGGGATCGTTGCTCTATCCCGATACTTCCGTTTTGTTGAGGCCCGGCCTTCTACACCTCACTTCAACTCTCGCAATATAGCTGTTCATACAAGATGGCGATGCGATTCCTGCGAAAGATAGGCAGCTATTTGGCGCCTCAAGCCTCGAAAAGCGAAGATGGCCGTGACCAGTGGCCCTCGAGAGCAGCCTTCCTGCTCGCTGCAATGGGCGGCTGCGCAGGACAAGGAAACTTGCTCAGGTACCCGAGTGTGTTGTACAACAACTATGGCCTTCAATGGTTCATTCCATATCTTCTGGCCGTCTTCCTCATTGCTATCCCGGCGCTCATCCTGGAAGTGTCAATTGGTCAAGCGTACCGTGGTGGTACTGTGATTGCATGTAAGACAGCTGTTGTGTTGATTACGTATGGCCACCAACTGACCATCTGCCGCTAGTCAATAATATAAACCGCCGTCTCAAAGGAGTTGGTATGGGACCTGTCATCGTCAGCTTCCTCGTGGTTCAGTACTTTACTGTTAACTTGGCATGGTATGCAATATTTCCAAACAATAGCGACGTCTGGCCTATACTTACTTTGTCGCCAGGATTATGAGATACTTCCAAGAAAGTTTCACGAGTCCCTTGCCATGGGAAGGCCGCATCGAGGATTTCTACTACAAAGACGTTCTACAGCGTGGAGAAATCAACGAGGGAAGCCTCACTCCGGATGGCAACTCCGTAGCTTCATTCACCGGCTATCCCAACGGAGCTCTGATCGGTTCAACTGTAGGCTGGAGTATCTTTGTATGGTTCCTGATCTGGATATCCATCTTCCGTGGAGTCGGCATGACCGGTCGCGTCGTATACTTCACCATGGGACTACCCATCGTCACCACCATCATCTTCGTTGGCCGAGCGCTGTCTCTTCCTAATGCGAGTGAAGGTGTTGCTCTTGTTTGGAGAACTTGGAGGAGCGATCAACTCGCCTCGGGAGTCGTGTGGCAGACAGCTGTTGGCCAAGTCTTCTTCTCCACCGGTATCGGCTTCGGATACTTCACGTCGTACGCCAGTTACAACACAAAACACGCCAACGCCGTAATGGACGCTTGTCTTATTTGTGGTAGCAACGTGCTTTTCGAAAACTTCGCTGCATTCGCCGTCTTTGGCGTTGTAGGCTTTCTTGAAAGGTGGCCACAGGATGGCGAGCGACTCGGCGCCTTTGTTGTGGGTTTCTTGACATTACCTGAGGCGGTGCTGCAGATGCCCGGAGCGAACTTTTGGGCCGTTCTATTGTTCTTTACGCTCATTGTGCTCGGATTCAGTTCGGCTTTCGTCATGCTTGACGTTGTTGTCACGCTTATCTGCGACTCTGGCATGGTCAAGGCTTCGAGGCCTGTCGTTGTTACTGCGCTGACCGTCCTCTCATTCTTGATGTAAGCAATGACTTCCCGCTTACTGGCTGAGAACTGCAAACTGACTATGACGAATTAGGTGTCTGCCATATTGCACAGAGTTCGGCTACTACCTCCTCGATGGTATTGATCGCTGGGTTAACAACGTCGCTCTAATCTTTGTCGTCTGGAGCGAGGTTTCCAGCGCTACGACCGTGTACCGATGGAGAGACATCGTTGAGGAAACCGGCCTGCCCGCCTTTGTCATATACAATGTTGGTTTCTTCGGCGGCCAAGTCTTTGGTATCAGTCTCGCGCACGGCATCAGCCGACCCGGAGCAGGCGCCGGTGCTGGTATCGGTTTTTACTTCCTTATGGCTGTAATTGCTGTTTTAGTGGCAAAGACCCCCACCGCGCGAGCGCCGTCTTTCTGGCACCGGAATACTTTTGTTCGGAAGTTCTGGTTCCTCGCCTTCTACTCGGTAAGTCGAACCAACTAAACGACCCTAACATTTCAGTCAACTAACAAACACGGCAGGGTAACCAACTCCGTCGCGACCTGAACGTCATCGTTGGCCAGGGCAAAAACTGGACGATACCAGCCTTCATGCCATTCCTCCTCCGTTATCTCAGTGGACCCGTCCTCGCCATCATCTTCTCCTTCGCTTTCCCCGAATTTCACACTCTACGGTACGACCCAATGATGATTGCCGGATTCATCTTGTCCATAATCACTATAATCGTTATCCTGCTCGGCTTCATAATGCCGCGATACTACGATGCTTTCATCCCTACGGAACGCCGTTACGAAGGAACCGAGCCGACGGCACCGATGGAAACCAAGGGTGAACTAGCTGGCAGGCCCATTGCTGAGGTGGCAAGCGCTGAGCAAGGACACGGCGTCATGAGGGACTCGTCATCAGGGCAAGAGATGGATGCTCACAAGCATACCAACCCACCACCGTACACACCCAAAGGGCACATCAAGACGACCAGATCGAAAAAGACCACAGCTGGGATCTAGGTTTCAATTTCCTTCTCGCGAGAGCCCGATGGATGGGCCTCAGGCGGCGCTGGCAGCGCCGCATCTCCTTGTTTCTTTAGGTGGTGACTTCCTTTTAGCGCGGTATTTGCGACATTTGTGGAAAGCAACCGTCATATATGCTGAGAGCCCAATACCCAGAGCCCAAATTATGCCAAAGCAACTCGACTCTGCTGTTTGCAGCACACCCAATGCGACTTTGCCGACCCAAGCCCTGATGTTTTCGCCCTCACTACTGGAGTACTGCTGACAAACTCTTGCTGAAAATTACACGATCTATCGTGCTTTTTGAGTGACTCTGTCTTCTATACTGATCATCTTCTGGAAGTTTTGTGCCTAAGATTTGGCGATCAAGAGACGCGCCTGCGGAACATCGCGCTTCTAGCGCGGCATCTTCAGATTCTGAACTGCTGTTAACACGGCCGGAGTTCAGATGAAGACCCACTCGCTCGCAGAGTCTTTGCGCTTGCCTACACACGCCTATTAGAGTACAACTCGCTTACAAAATAATTTCGCGGGACGCACAGCTCTCCTTCTAGATGGCCCGTACCGGTATTGGTCCTCCGCAATCACGATGCCGCCCTTCCGCGTGATACACTGCATAGGGCTGTCGGTATTTCCAGATTGATATCCATATATCTAGATGAAGACATATGCATGTCGGAAGCCAAAGGTGGACGAATCCGGGGCAAGCGAGAAGCTTGTTTTCACGTGGCTGCAGATCCGCTGACGCCAGTACGGCATAAGCCAAGCCAGCACGCAGACAAAGAAGAGTGCCTGGAATGAGATTCCTTCTACATACACGCAATGCTGCATGCACATGTTTGCGCAAGGGTTTATTTGCCAACGATGCGGCCCGGCGAGTTAGACGGGTGGGCTGCCACTGCGCAGTTTGTGCGGAGACCCACTCAACCTCGCTCGTGGCAACTGCGCGACTTGTGCGGCCGCCACTGTCACGCTTTTGGACGATGAATCAGAAATGTAGGTAGTAATGACACATTTCGCAGAAAAGGCTCGAAAATTCGGGTTTCACTTATATCTGAGGGTTCCAGTATCGTGTTGTGTTTCCTTGAACGTTCCTTCCTTCGTCCACGCCCAGTCGCTTCCTTGATTGCTTTGATTGCGCGACGACAGCCGTTGGCTACTACCCCGGAACCGGCGCCCACTGACATCTATCAATCACTGCCTGAGCAAGAGAGTCATCCACCCGATTGATTGAGGAGTACCGACACTGTCGATATTACACAGCCAAGGTCACCCCGAACGCGAACCAGTCACCATGTCTCCCGCCGCGCCGTTACCCAGATTGCGCGATCCTGCGGTGAACGGCACCACAACGACGACATGCTTTATTTCTAATCTCCACTGCCCATCATGTGTGGACGGTATCCAAGCCTCTCTCACCGCGCTCTCACCGCCGCCACAAGACGTATTCGTCTCCATCGTTTCACATTCAGTGGTTGTACGCCACGCCGCTTCTCTCAACCTTGACGACATCACCGTCTCGCTAGAGGCTGCGGGGTTCGAGATACACAGCGTGTTTCAAGACACCAAGGCTGTCCGGAGTCCGATCGAGGTT